AAAGGCGACTGTCAAAGAGGACTAAGAATGCAGGAACACATGGAAGAGACCAAAGCAAAGAAGGGGGGGCACCAACTAAGGCCAGGCCGGCCAGCCAGGGCATCACTGTCCCTGGCAGCCCATCTGACCCAGTGGGCTTGATCATTCCCAAGCTAACAGTAGCTGAGGCCTGGCCAGAGTAAACCAGACAGGGCAGCGCCAGGCTTCCCCTAACTTCAGGAATGGGAGGAGTGATGGGCCTGGCTTCTCACTTTACCCAGGGGCTGGCCCCACGACACCATGCACCTGTCCCAGAAAAAGGAGACTTTTCTGAGAATTTGACCTGGGCCTCTGTACGCCTGAAGAGAAAACCTGTGACCCCGCCCCCCCACCATATACTCTTGCCCAGAATTCTTTCTGTAGGACTGAACCGCCTTTGTGACATCACGTGGTGCAGAGGTTGCTGACGCCTATGGAGACCCTAGCATTCTATTGACGGTATCGGGTAGTTTGACTCGCCAGAACAGTGATAACCACCTTGGGTAGAAAAGGCTCCTGCTGCTCGCGTAGCGCAGTAGGTGGCTTGAACACCAAGCTCATGAAGCTATGCCAGACCCAGCTGCTGGGGAAGTGCGGGCAAGGGAAGCCCCATCTAGCCCTGTACCTGAACTGAACGAGGACGACGGGGAGGGTTCAGAGAGGGATGGTGACCAGGCCCTGTGCCAGGGTCCAGGCTCCCGGGAGCCGCAGCATCCAGACAGCCCAAATGAACGCAAGGCCAATGGGAAAGACGGTGACGACAGTGCTGCACTCTCCTTTCCCAGAAAGCTTTGGAGCGTAGTGGAGAGCGATGCGTTCGAGTCCGTGTGCTGGAATGAAGATGGAGACGCTGTGCTCATCGAGGTGGACTGCTTCCAGAGGGAGATCCTTGGCCAGAGAGGCGCAGAGAGGATTTTTGAAGCAGACAACTTGAATAGTTTCATTGACCAAGTTCATCTCTATGGCTTCAGATGGATACGCCCACACAACTCTGAGGCTCAGTCCTGGGGGAACAGAGCGACGGTAAAGTAGAAAGGATCTCTGTTTGGTGTGTTCTCCGCTACTCGCCCCCATCACAGGCTCCCCAGAAGCAGCACCAGTATTCTGTGAGGGCTGAATTTCCAAGGGTACCACTTTAGTACTGACAGATGAAAGGTTAGACTTTGAAAGAGCAGGTTTGCCGCTAAACCAGAGCTCCTATTGAGAACATCTTTAGGCAAGAATAAAGGCTCAGGAGGCAGTCAGTGTCACAGATGTACTGCTGTTATGGCAAAGCCTTGGACTATGGGTAACTTGCTGAGAGGGTTCCACAAGATGAGTATTGGATTAATAATTCCCCTTAGTTATTGTGGGTTGATGAGGCCTGCAGTCTTCCAAATGAGTGTATGGGAAAGACTTAAATGAGTGGTATGATTTTTGGTCTCCAGGAGGTTCAAAAACCTCTTACAGCTTTTGAGATTCTCTGGGTTCTGACCAAGAACTTGTCTGCGTGGCTCGTATTTATTTGGCTTTTCAAGCAAAGGTGGGGGATACTGAAGAGATGCAGGAATCTAATAGGAAGTAGTAAATTGTGTCAATCAGGAGAACCACCTTATCTCTAAGTTGGCATTTATTGTAGGAGTGTGGGGCCTGCAGCTGCAGTCTCCTTTTAGTTAACTGGGGTTGGAGCCAAAGGTCCTCAGCTGTGGCCTTATCTTGTCCTGTGAGGCGTCACAGCTG